TTGTGTCAATAATATCTTAAAATCACTGTGATCCTAAATGTCCGTAATGAAAGTTAAGGGAATTCAAGCGAGTACTTGCGGTAGCAGCGATTTTCGTATCTACTAATAACATGCATTAATTCAATTGCTTGATACGGCTTTTCTTGATCACATTATGATTTATCATTCTTAAAAATTATAGTTAAATGTTTTGCTGAAAAACATTTCTACAATTGCATTAAAATATTCAACTTTTATAATATGCATGTCGTTGCTGATATCATCATGGTGAGCTCTAGAACAAAGCGTTCTTCGTTTATGATTTTCTGTTAGTTTTCATGATGTTGTTGATATGTTGATGTGAAGGTCTCAGACATATTTTATTTCATAAAAAATAACATTTTCATTTTCTCAATTTTATTTTAATACATGTAAAAGGGATATGGAGTATAAATAACATCACAAAGAAGCTTGAACAAAATAAAATTCCTATAGAAATAATGATTACATGATGAATAACACTTTAAAATATCGAGTATTGGTGTCAATACAAATACTGTATCGTTTCAAAAGTATTGCTATTGTATCGTTTCGTTTTTAATGATATCCAACCCTAGTCATTGGTCTGTCATAAAACTTTCCGGACTACTTCTCATAAACTACAGGTGCAATTTCATTTGAACTTTACAGGAATGATCAGTATCATGTCTATTTGTGCATATCATTGGCATTTTCTAGTTCAATGATTTTGTTAGAATTATGGTCCTGAAATGAATTTTGTCAGGACTACTTCCCTTACTACTTAAGCCATTTAAATGAAATGTTACAGGACTGATCAGTATCTAATGCACTTATGCATATTTAACAGTTTTTCTGGATGAATGATTTTTGACAAGTTCGTGCCCTTTGAAAAAAAAGTTTGTTTTTTTCAAGTTAATGATTTTGCATTGTCTGCTACACAGTAGTTACCACATGTTTCAAAGTAGTCATGACAGATAGGGATCACTTTTCCATTGTCTTTCTGCCTATCTGTTTGTTTGTCTTCCTGTCCCTCAAAATTACTTGTCCAGACTTCTACTCAAAAGCTTCTGAAGCAATTTTATCAAAATTTTACAAGAATGATCAGTATCAATTCTAGTTGTGCATATCATCAGCATTTTCCAGATCAATTATTTTTGTGCCCCCACTTTAGTGGCGGGCATTTAGATTTACCCTTCCATCCTTCCATCCGTCCGTCCATCTGTTCTCTTTTGTGTCGCATGTAACTCAAAAAGTATTTGACCTAGAGTCATGAAACTTTACAGGAATGTTCATCAGCATGTGTAGTTGTGCACCTGGGTATTTTCGTTTGGATATATTTAGTATTTTTAGAGTTATTGCCCTTGACTTAGTAAACTTTTGCAATTTTCAACTTGTGTCGCATGTAACTCAAAAAGTATTTCACCTAGAGTCATGAAACTTTACAGGAATGTTGATCAGCATATGTAGTTGTGCACCTGGGTATTTTTGTATGGATTTATTTAGTATTTTTAGAGTTATTGCCCTTGACTTAGAAATTTTTTGCAATTTTCACATTGTGTCGCATGTAACTCAAAAATGATTTGACATAGAGTCATTAAACCTTACGGGAAGGTTGCTCAGCATATTTAGTTTTGCACCTGGGGTTTCGCTTGTGGATTTATCCAGTTATTTGTAGGGTTATTTCCCTTGACTTAGAAAAAAACGTTGCAACTTTACAGGAATAATGATCAACATCACTAAATTACAGGAATAATGATTCACATCACTGTGAAGCTATGCACCTGGGACTTTGCCTGTGGATTTTTTTTCAGTTTTGTTAGAGTTATTGCTCTTGACTTACAGTAGTATAAATTTGCAATTTTCAACTTGTTCATGCATAGCTCAAAAAGTATTTCACTTATAGGCCTGAAAGTTTACAAGAATGTTGGTCAGCATGTGTACTTATGTACCTTGGGGTTTGCTTTTGGATTTATTCAGTATTTGTAAAGTTCTTGCCCTTTACTTAGTAAAAGATTTTTAGTTTTCAAAAAATATTTGACCTAGAGTCATAAGATTGACAGAACAGTGGCGCGGTGGGGGCACCCGTGTCCTGTGGACACATTTCTAGTTGTATTTATTACTGCAATTTTGTGGGTCAAATTATATTTCCAGCTGACAATGACAAGTTGCACATTTCCAAATCAATGATTTTTAGCTCACCTGAGCTAGCTCAGGGTGAGCTTTTAGGATCGATGATTGTTCGTTGTCCGTCCGTCCGTCGTCCGTCCACATTTAGTTTGTTAACACTCTAGTAGTCGCATTTATTCCTCAATCATCATGAAATTTTGTCAGGATGCTTCTCTAGTTGATAGCTTGGATGAGTTCGAACATGGGTCACATCGGATGAAAAACTAGGTCACCACAGCTAAAATTAGAAAAACCTAGTTAACACTCTAGCAGTCACATTTTTGCCTCAATCATCATCAAACTTTGTCAGGATGCTTGTCAATGTGATATCTCAAATGAGTTCGAACATGGGTCATCTCGGATGAAAAACTAGGTCACCGGAGCTAAAAATAGAAAAACCTTGTTAACACTAGCGGTCACATTTTTGCCTCAATCATCATCAAACTTTGTCAGGATGCTTGTCTAGTTAATAGCTCAGATAAGTTCCAACATGGGTCATCTCGGATGAAAAACTAGGTCACCACAGCTAAAAATAGAAAAACATTGTTAACACTCTAGTGGCTACTGTTTTGATCCAAGTATCCTGAAAATTGGTCTGAAAGTTTGTTTTGATGATTTGTAGGTCAAGTTCGAATATGGGTCACCTGGGGTCAAAAACTAGGTCATACTGCTCAAATATGGATAATCCTTGTTAACACTCTAGTTGTCGCATTCTACTCTAGTGGTCGCATTTTTGACTCACCTGTCATGAAACTTGGTCAGAATGCTTGTCTAGATTATTGTTTGAATGAGTTTGATGGGTCAGGTTAGCGATCTAGGGCCACGATTTAGGGCCATCTTGGTCCTCTTGTTAGCTCACCTGAGCAATGCTCAGGGTGAGCTATTGTGATGGCCCTGTGTCCGTCGTGCGTCGTCAACTTTTAACATAAACAACATCTTCTCTGAAACCAATGACTGCACATCAACCAAACTTTACAGAAATGATCCTTGTATGGTCCCCTTTCAAAGTTGTTCAAATGGTTTCGGTCCGTTGCATATGTAGGTCATAGGGCCAGAAAAGGATTTCAAAAAACACAAAATAATAAAATCTTCTTGTCTGAAAGTACATGGGCCAGAGCTTTGATTTTTGGTATATGGTATCATCTATGGGTCTTCTACCAAAGTTGTTCAAATTTTGTCCCTAGTGTCAAAATTGGCCCCGCCCCGGGGGGTCATAGGTTTTTCCGTATATGTATATAGTAAAATCTAAAAAAATCTTCTTCTCTGATTTGGCAAAGGCTACAGATTAGATATTTGGCATGAAACATTGTGTAGTAGACCTCTATCAAGATTGTTCAAATAATGGCCCTAGGGTCAAAATTGGCCCCGCCCCGGGGGGTCATTGATTTTCATTACATACATATAGTGAAAACTTGAAAAATCTTCTGGTCTGAAAGTAAATGGCCTAGAGCTTTGAGTTTTGGTATATGGTATCATCTGTGGGTCCTCTACCAAAGTTGTACAAATTTTGTCCCTAGTGTCAAAATTGGCCCCGCCCCGGGGGTCATAGGTTTTTCCTTATATGTATATGGTAAAATCTAAAAAAAAATCTTCTTCTCTGATTGGCAAAGGCTACAGATTAGATATTTGGCATGAAACATTGTGTAGTAGACCTCTATAAAGATTGTTCAAATAATGGCCCTAGGGTCAAAATTGGCCCCGCACCGGGGGTCATTGATTTTCATTACATACATATAGTGAAAACTTTGAAAAAATTTCTGGTCTGAAAGTAAATGGCCTAGAGCTTTGATATTTTGGTCTATGTATCATCTGAAGGTCCAATACCAAAGTTGTACAAAATTTTGACCCTAGTGTCAAAATTGGCCCCGCCCCGGGGGGTCATAGGTTTTTCTAATATGTATATAGTAAAACATAAAAAAAATCTTCTTCTCTGAATTGGCAAAGGCTACAGGTAAGATATTTGGCATGAAACATTGTGTGGTAGACCTCTACCAAGATTGTTCAAATAATGGCCCTCGGGTCAAAATTGGCCCCGCCCTCGGGGGTCATTGATTTTCATTATATACATATAGTGAAAACTTCAAAAATCTTCTGGTCTGAAAGTAAATGGCCTAGTGTTTCCCCATTATGTAAGTGTGGATTTGTGTGTTAGTTTAAAAATTGAAATAGTTCGTGCCTGTTTCATGTTTTGAAAATAAATACCCAGTTGTTGGATTTCTAATTTATTTAGTAAAGATAAGTGAAGAACATAACATATTTAAGCCACAGATCCCTATGTCAGTTGTCAAGGTCATTATAAGTGAGTCATTGAACTAAGTTTATTATGTACTCTTCACTGCAGACTTATCGGTTTCTGTGTTCTGCAAAGTGGTATTTCAAAATAACTTGGTACACTTGTTCACTTTAATAAAGTAAAAGACATGTCTTGCATGTGTCTACCTCAAGTCCCAGGGTTTAATCTTTCATTTACCCAATTATCAGAGATATTCTCTTGAAACTGGGAATACTTGTTCATTATTAAAAGGGAACTCATACCAACAAGGCTGATCACCTTCAAGTTATTTTTGACAGAGTTATGCCCCTTCTTCAACTTTGAACTTTTTGGTTATAGTCAAATATCAAAGCTTTACCTGAATTAATTGTATTCGAGTAAAGTTCATGGAAGAAATTAAAAGCAAAAGTTTTTCTTCAGTTATTGGTTTGTGTTTCTTATTTCCTTTACCAATGCATATTCAATTAAATTCGAATTAAAAGCTTTGTTTGGGAGTATAATCATTTTATAATGACAGCTTGTTTGAGAATCTTAGTTAAATTGAATGCCAAAGTTCATATGTTTATATTTTCTACAGTTGATGTCTGCAATGCAAACACCACCTGGTCATGTAGCTACCGGAACACCTACCGTAAGAGTTTAACATTATGATTAAAGTTATGTAATAAACGTTCTGCCATTATAAGTTCATTATAAACACGCCCGGCAAACTGTCGCTCCACTTCAAAATTGTGGTGTACGGTAAAACGAGCGAACGGCATTTCCGAGATAGAGCGGAAGGTCGATTTAAACGCCTTATTGTAAGTATTGTTTATGTTTTTGTCTTGTTATTCATTTAAGTTGTATTTTTTCGAAAAACGGAAAATGTAGTTCCGTGTAGGATTGATTTAGGCTTCCAATGATCTAAGCTGTTACAAAAAGAAAATTATATTAAGCCTGGGACAACTTTTCTCCCTGACGAAGCGAACGACGATTTGTAGAATATTGAACTTCCCAACCATTGAAATGCCATACCCTTCGGATTTCTTGAAAAAGTGTATTAGTAAATTATCAACCCGTAATAAGAACTTGTCCTTCGTGCAAAATAAATTACTCCTGAAGGATTTCTTAAATTTGTAAATCGATATTTTTTCGAAAGTAGTGGAGCGAAAGGGCAAGAGATGGAGCAAAAGGTTCGATGTTGAGCGCAAGGCGACATTAATTTGACGTATTAGGAGGAGCGTAGTCTATGATTTTTTATATATAAAAGCTATAGAAGTTAAAATAGACGTGATCAAGTGTTGAGACCGAAATATATATACCTTTTAAAGACAACTAATTAAGTGTGATATCCTATCAACGACTATAGCGTAATAAATGTAATCGCGAAGGTGTCACCTATGGCTGCCGTGTAGATTCGAAATTTGGATGAGGCCCGACCATTGAATCATACACATGTATGCATGGCATAATACAGGATGCCACTTATTCGAGATCAATCATGATTTTTCACACGGTTATTTACATTTAAAAACGTGTGTCCGTGCAAATTCGACAAAATCGAATATTTTCAGTTCTACCGAGAACAAATGTTTCCGAGCAGGTCAGTGTAACGCGATTGTTTACGCCAAAATGTTATGTTTTTCGAAAAATTAGATATTCAAGGTGCAGAACAGAAACAAAATTATGCAATGCATGGAACACATTAAATTAAATGGATCACTAAGTACTACCGAGTTCAGCTCACAATGACTTTCTGTCATTAAAAGCTCTAACGTACCTGTTCAGAGCAAACACAAATAAGCCACGTTTTCATGAATTTGTAAGGTGAGGAATCGCTATGAAAATGATTGACAAGGTGTCAGTCGTTATAAGGATATAACACGTGTTTCAGTTATGTTTCTAGATACTTCCTCCCTTATTTAGCATTGTTGTTTAGTTTTTTATTTTCCTCTCAACGTGTAAATAGAAATTTCTACGATAACTAGGTCTATTATATTATTGATAATTTTAGTCCGTACACCGACTGAGCTCTGCCTTTTTTTTATTACGTTCGTTTTGTTCATAGATAAACAAACAAAATCTTAGATATTTATTTTAACTTATTTTTTTCTTAAACCAAGATTTGTACTGCAGTGTTTGATTATAAAAGTAAACATTTCTATTTACACTTTGAGAGGAAAATAAAAAACTAAACAACAATGAAATTCACGAAATTGTGGCTTATTTATGTTTGCTCTGAACAGTTATGTTAGAGCTTTTAATGACAGAAAGTCATTGTGAACAGAACTCGATAGTACTTAGCGATCCATTTAATTTAATGTGTTCCATGCATTGCATAATTTTGTTTCTGTTCTGCACCTTGAATATCTAACTTTTCGAAAAACATAACATTTTGGCGTAAACAATCGCGTTACACGTACCTGTTCGGAAACATTTGTTCGCGGTAGAACTGAAAATTTTCAATTTTGTCGAATTTGCACGGACACACGTTTTTAAATGTACATAACCGTGTGAAAAATCATGATTGATCTCGAATAAGTGGCATCCTGTATTATGCCATGCATACATGTGTATGATTCAATGGTCGGGCCTCATCCAAATTTCGAACATAAATAATGGAATCTACACGGCAGCCATAGGTGACACCTTCGCGATTTATATTTATTACGCTATAGTCGTTGAAAGAATATCACACTTTATTAGTTGTCTTTAAAAGGTATATATATTTCGGTCTTAACACTTGATCATGTCTATTTTAACTTCTATAGCTTTTATATATAAAAAATCATAGACTACGCTCCTCCTAATACGTCAAAATAATATCGCCTTGCGCTCAACATCGAACCTTTTGCTCCATCTCTTGCCCTTTCGCTCCACTACTTTCGAAAAAATATCGATTTACAAATTTAAGAAATCCTTCAGGAGTAATTTATTTTGCACCAAGGACAAGTTCTTATTACGGGTTGATAATTTACTAATACACTTTTTCAAGAAATCTGAAGGGTATGGCATTTCTATGGTTGGGAAGTTCAATATTCTACAAATCGTCGTTCGCTTCGTCAGGGAGAAAAGTTCTCCCGGGCTTAATATAATTTTCTTTTTGTAACAGCTTAGATCATTGGAAGCCTAAATCAATCCTACACGGAACTACATTTTCCGTTTTTCGAAAAAATACAACTTAAATGAATAACAAGACAAAAACATAAACAATACTTACAATTAGGCGTTTAAATCGACCTTCCGCTCTATCTCGGAAATGCCGTTCGCTCGTTTTACCGTACACCACAATTTTGAAGTGGAGCGACAGTTTGCCGGGCGTGATAAAGTCCTGTACATAATTGCCAAATATCTTGTTTTTTTTAATGTCTACAAATATTTAGTAAAAAGAAATTAGATACGATGCTCTGCACTTTGATTCAAGTGAGCACTAATTAAGCAATCATTGGTACGATCACTGGTCTGAGTACAAATTGGTCTGAAATAAATTATCTCGGAAAAAGTGTTTGATGGTCATTAGTCTCTCACAGCTCATATAGAGAAGATAATGTGGGAAAAATAGTCAGTCTGTTGCAGAGAAATTGGTAATTACTGATTAAATGTCCAAAAGATGTTAAATTCAGCATAAAACCTTTACAAACCAGCAAACTTGGGATTAGCAACCAAAGTTCTGTTTCTGTGACTAGGAATACAAGATCGGTATAGTCGAGTGGTTACTGCGTCAGTCTTGTAGTCATGCAGGCCTGAGTTCGAACCTTGTCTTTGGCCATCTTTATCTTCATTACCTATTACTGTTTGGTTGAAAGTGATTGTAATTTGTATAAGCTTTCTATTTTAAACATAATTATACCCCCCTTCGAAGGAGAGGGGGTGTATTGTTTTGCTAATGTCGGTCTGTCCGTCGGTAGACCACATGGTTTCTGCCGATTATTTTGAAAACTATTTATCACAAAGTCTTCATATTTCACATAGTGATTGGCCATAACTAATAGCTGACCCCTATTGATTTTGGGGTCACGATATCAAAGGTCAAGGTCACAGGGGTCTGAAATGTCAAAATGGTTTCCGCTGATTATCTTGAAAAGTATTCATCACAAAGTTGTCATATTTCACATATTGATTAATCATAACTAGTAGATGACCCCTATTAATTTTGGGGTCACAAGGTCAAGGTCACAGGGGCCTCAAATGTCAGAATGATATTTGCTCATTATCTTGGTTACAATTCATCTCAAAGTCTTTATATTTCACATATTAATTGGTCAAAACTAGTAGATGACCCCAATTGCTTTTGGATTTTGGGGTCACTAGGTCAAAGGTGAAGGTCACAGGGGCCTTGAATAGTAATATGATTTCCGCTTATTATCTTGGTTACTATTCATCACATAGTCTAATATTTCACATAATGATGGGTCTTAACTAGTAGATGACCCCTATTGATTTTGGGGTCACTAGGTCAAAGGTCATAGGGTCTTTGAATGGTAGGATGGTTTCAGCTCATTATCTTGGAAGATAATAATCACAAAGTCTTCATATTTCACAAAGTGATTGGAAAGAACCAATAGATGATCCGTATTGCTTTTGGGGTCACTAGATCAAAGGTCAAGGTCACAGGGGCCTTAAGTGTAAGAATGGTTTCCGCGTATTATCTTGAAGATTTTTATCACAAGTAAGTGAACATATTGATTTTGGGGTGAGTAGGTCAGAGGTAAAGTTCACAGTGTTCTTGAATGTTAGTTTGGTTTCCGCTTATTATCTTGAAAACTATTTATAACAAAGTCTTCATATTTCTAATATTGATTGGTTATACCTATTAGATGGCCCTTATTGATTTTGGGTCACTAGTTCAAAGTTCTAGATCACAGGGGCCTTAAATATCTCATTATCTTGAAAACTATTTATCACAAAGTCTTCATTATTTTTCTTTTTTCCATAATTGAACACTTCCATGTACCAATTTATGGCAAGTTTCTATTACAAAATTACAAATTATGTGAGTCAAGGGCTAGAAAGGGGGCATATGTGTCCTTCGACATTCTTGTTCTTAAAGGCTTTTTAATTAAGTTTATTTACTGACATTTGATTAAATTGTTCAGTTTTTCATACAGTGCCGAAAAATTTCGGGGGAGCATATAGTTGCCGCCTTGTCCGTCCGTCCGTCTGTCTGTCCGCTTTTCTTGTCCGGGACATAACTTTGAAACAACAAGAGGTATCAACATGAAACTTTGTAGGTAGATAGATCTCATTGACAAGGTGTGCAATGCACAAGAACTGTAACTCTGCCTTTTTGTAATTTTTGAATAAATCCCCTTTGTTTATTAATACACTTTGAACTTTGTCCGGGACATAACTCTAAAACTATAAGAGGTATCAACATGAAACTTTGTAGGTAGATAGATCTCATTGAGTAGTTGTGCAGTGCACAAGAACCGTAACTCTGCCTTGCCTATTTTTTTAATTATTCCCCTTTGTTTATTTTCACACTTTAACTTTGTCCAGGACATTACTCTAAAACTATAAGAGGTATCAACATGAAACTTTGTAGGCAGATAGATCTCATTTAGTAGGTTTGCTGTGCACAAGAACTGTAACACTGTCTTGCCTACTTTTGGAGTAATTGCCCTTTGTTCATTTTAATATCCGGGACATTACTCTAAAATTTTAAGAGATATAAGGTCACAGGAACTAAAAATAGAAAAATCTTGTTAACCCTCTAGTGGCTGCAGTTTGATCAAAATATCTTGGAAATTGGTCAGGAAGGTTGTGTTGATGATTTCTAGGTCAAATTGGAATGTGGGTCATCTCCGGTCAAAAAACTAGGTCGCAGGAGCATAAAATAGAAAAATCTTGTCCATATATCCTGGAAATTGGTCTGCAAGTTTGTTTTGATGACTTCTAGGTCAAGTTCAAATATTGGTCACATGGGGTCAAAAGACTAGGTCAAAACTGCCCATATATTGAAAGACCTTGTTAACACTCTAGAGGTCACATTTTTGTCTCATTTGTCATCAAACATTGTCAGGATGCTTGTCTTAGTAATTGCTCGGATGAGTTTCGTGGGTCAGGTGAGCGATCTAGGGCCACCTTGGCCCCCTTGTTCAAGTAAACATTCCAAAGATTTTCAGTTTGTAATTGATTTAAATCTTTAAGAAAGGCGATGTTGGGGAGATATCTCAATCATCTTGACAATACCTATATTGACATGTTTTTATGAAAAAACATAAAAATAAAAATCCCCTTTGTTTTTTTTACACTTTGAACTTTGTCCGGGACATAACTCTAAAAGTATAAGAGGTATCAACATGAAACTTTGTAGGTAGATAGATCTCATTGAGTAGGTGTGCAGTGCACAAGAACCGTAACTCTGCCTTGCCTAATTTTTAGGTCCTCAGGGTGAGTTTTTGTGATGGCCGATTGTCCGTCGTTCATCGGCATGTGTGCGTACATGCGTCAACAATTTCTTTAAACAACTTTTCCTCCTCCTAAACCACTTGGCCAAATTTGTTGAAATTTGGATTGTGTAAAAATAAACAAAGGGGGGTTTTATTTTTATGTTTTTGTAGGAACATGGTGGGGCTAAGAGCGAGGTTTGGTGCACCATTAACCGGTTTAAACTCCCCAGCAGTATTTATGCTGCTGACCGTTCCAAGGCGGCGCCCCTCTGTGTCCCTCAGTTGTATGTCTATGTTGTTTCATACTGTTATGGTGACACTTGTGTCCCTTGTTGTTTTCTCGTCTACGGTAAGTATCTTCCCCTTTGCCCCTAGTTTTTATTTATTTGATTAACCCCCCTTCCCCCGGTCTCCTGTCCCCTTCCCCTTTGTGGGCCTATTATTCTTTTCTTTGAATTCTTTATCAGTTACAAATTATTTTCTTTTAATGATTAACATGTCCGTGCTCTGTCTTTGCCCTGTCCTGTTTTTGTTTGGGGTCCGCCTGGGCTCCTTGCCATTGGTTCTTGTTGCTGGGTCATATGGGGGTTGCGTTCGTTGAACGCCGCCTTTCCTTGTTGATCTTGTTTATCATATTTTACCTTGTGACTAATGACGTTTCACCATTTGTTTTGATTGGCTTATTATCAGGTCACAAACTCACCGTTGTGTATAAACCACCCTGCCTTTAATTAGCTGTAAATACAGGACTATTTAAGTACTTGTCAGAATTTTGAAGCATTAAAATTATCACCTGGGTCTGACTAACATCATTACTGAAATCTGTTGGGTTTTAGTAATGCATATTTTCCAAATGAAACACTATAAATCATTGAAATGAACATTGAAGTCAGATTAAATTTTTTTTTGTTAGATAAACATTGATGGACAGTTCTACTTTTTAAAACTAAGCAGATTCCTGAAATTTAGTAGAATATTTCTGTAATAATATCTTTTGTGAAAACGTCTACAAGTTGGGGGCAATTCTTTTCTCACTAAGCACAATATTTATTGATTTAACTTAAACAAGATTAAGATCTTGATCTTTTGTATGAGTCTACTTGTGGATGGCTTGACAGAGCTGTCACATTGGCAATATGGTCTCTAGGTCAAGGTCAGCATGATGCCTAAAAGTAGAATGTCAAATTTGTCAGTCTCAGAACTAACCACTCTATTTCATACTGGAACATGACACCCTTTTAGGCAAGAGCTTTCCAGATAATTATACTAATAGGACTATGACCCCTGAATAACCTTGACCATGAAGATCCCATTGTCAAAAAAATCTAATTATGGACCAAACTTTTCCTCATAAATTAACAGATTTACTTTATTCTTGGACACAGCATATGATAACAAAAGACCACTGACATATATGTATTATGTTCTTCAATTCTGAGTGACTTTGACCTCGAAGGTTTGATAATTAACAATCACTTGTTTTCACTTTATTCTTGAGCTTGGACTAAGTTTTTTACATGGGCTGTCATTAACAATTTTCAAAATCTGAAAAGTTATAAGGCCGCTGTTCTTGTTTTAAATATGTGTACCAGTTTTAGGTAGGTCTTCTTATATGAAAATACACTTCAAACCAATATCTGTTCTATATACTTTTCAGGTTACATTTAATCCAGAAACATTGAAGTGTTGTGTATGCTATGAAAGAGATCGGTCAGCATTCCTCATACCTTGTGGTCATCTGTACTGTATGGTTTGTGCCACTCATCTTGAATCAACTCAAATGTCCTGTGCTGTGTGTAGAACCAGTATCACTGGTGTTGGACACCTTCATGCCTAATTTTCTTTAGAGAAAGACAGTGTTGTTATATTTTCTGGTCCTTCGGGATCATTGATGCCAACACTATAAAGTGTTGAGAATTGAGTACCGCTCAAGCCGGTGCTAGGGGCATGAGGGATGTTGCACTTATTCATTATCTCTCATGTACAGACTCAATCAAACCGAGTCTGCAATTCTTATGTTATTTTGTTGTGATTAATGCTTCCGAGGGATCACTTATTTTCCAGAATTTTGTACTTCACAACAACAGGTGTCAAGTGCCGTGTTGCAGCCGTAAAAAGTTGCCCCGTACTTCACTTCAGTGTTGTTATATTTTCTGGTCCTTCGGGATCATTGATGCCAACACTATAAAGTGTTGAGAATTGAGTACCGCTCAAGCCGGTGCTAGGGGGCGTGAGGGATGTTGCACTTATTCATTATCTCTCATGTACAGACTCAATCAAACCGAGTCTGCAATTCTTATGTTATTTTGTTGTGATTAATGCTTCCGAGGGATCACTTTGTTTCCAGAATTTTGACAGAATCTATGCCATTCATTTAAGAGTTGAAGAACAATGAAAGATCTATTTCTTATTTTATAAGCTCACCTGAGGACTGTGTCCTCAGGGTGAGCTTTTGTGATGGCCAATTGTCCGTCGTTCATCGTTCATGTGTGCGTACATGCGTCAACAATTTCTTTAAACAACTTTTCCTCCTCCTAAACCACTTGGCCAAATTTGTTGAAACTTTGCAAGGATGTTTCTTGCATGAAGCTCTTCCAAAGTTGTTAAAAGAATTAAATTCCATAAAGAGCTAGAGCTTAGATATTTGGCAAGAAATATCTTCAAATGGATTGCTACCAAATGTGTTCAAATAAAAACCTTAGGGTCAAAATTGGCCCCACCCTAGGGGTCATTGATTTTCCTCATATGTATGTAGTAAAAAACAAAATCTTCTTTTAAATAAACCCAAAATCTAGAGCATAGATATTTAATATGAAACATCTTCTAGTGGTTGTCTACCTAGTTTGTTCAAATAAAAGCCCTTGGGTCAAAATTGGCCCAGCCCCAGGGGGGTAATTGATTTTCCTTGTATGTATATAGGAATAGAAACAAAAATCTTCTAAAAAAAGCCAAAGAGCTAGATATTTAGCATGAAACATCTTTTAGTGAGTGTCTTTTCTTAGGTTATTCAAATGAAATCCCTTGGGTCAAAATTGGCCCTGCCCCAGGGGTCATTGATATTTATTATATGTATATAGGAAAAACAAACAAAAAATCTAAGAAAGCCAAAGAGCTGAAGCTAAGATATTTGGCATGAAGCATCTTATAGTGCGTGACTAACAAGTTTGTTCAAAATTAAAGCCCTTGGGTCATCTAGTGACATCTTATGGAACTGTTGTTTTCCCCAGTAAATTTTTACAAGTGCACTATCAGATACAAATATGAACTTTGTTATATCAGTTTAAGATTTAGATTTCAATTCTGCTTTTGTTTATAATTTACAATGTAATTTGTTCCTTGTCATGGAGAGTTTTATATTCAGGTGAGTGGTAAGAGGACCATTATGGCCCTCTTGTTATAACTTTCACATATAATTGTATATGAAGACTTAAAAATATTTTTGCTTAAGTCAACAATGCTTAGAGTTAAGATATTTGGTGTGAAGTACATGTATTGTCTAATGGATGTCTACAAAGTTTGTTAAAATTTTATATGGAGGGTCAGAATTGGCCATACCACAGGCGTCACTTCATTTACATAAAATTATGTTGGAAAAGTATTCTAAACCAGAAGGCCCAGATTTAAGCTATTTTTTGCTTAGTATTGTGAAGATAACCTTTACCAAATACCTTTGTCAAAATTAGTCCTAACCTGGGTGTCCTGTTTGTGTAAATATAAAATCTTTGAAAAAAAATCTTGTTGGGAATGTCATTGCTTTGTGCTTAGATATTTTGTGAAATTGTACATGCCTCCCTGTCTTTTGAGATAACGCCCTGGGTAAAAAACAGCCCCGGCCTAGGGTTCACTATATTGTTTTTAGAAAAATTCTGTATTGAGGCTTTGTTAGGACTAATTTGAAGGGTCCTCCTCTTTGTTTGAATATGCAAATTATTAGTAACATAAGACAATCAAGAAAATATTTCACTGTTATATGCTCCTGGAGTTTTTTGTACACCTTGTTAAATATTAAGTTTAATTTTCATTTAAAGTGAATTAGTTAAAAAAAGTTTTGAAAAAAACTATATATAGTTTACTTTCAAATCCAATTTCCATTTATTTTGGATGACTTTTTGCCATTGAATTATTGAATCACCTTTAGTTAAAGTTCTAGATAATTTTTGTTTAGAAGGCATTAAAGTTTAATTGTTGCCTTATTTCTTTGTCATAGAATGGCATCAGTTTGTTTTAGAATTTTTGTTTTTATACCCTAACCAAACATAGTTTGGGGTGGGGACTATATAAAAATCACTATGTCTCGTCCTGTACCGCTGTCTCAAGTCCTATTACAGGTATTGATTTAAAACATCAGCACTCGAGTATCTATGTCAAGATTCAGAACTCTGATAGTTAGTTTGACAGAATTCAGTATCGCTTTATAAACAACAGTGTTTTTTAAGATTGAGAACACTTTTACGTAGTATGACCAGTAGAAGACTTACACTTAGTTTGACCAGTAGAAGTATTAACTTGACATGAAAGATATATCACAATGTCACTGTCTTTGTCAAGTTTCATAACTGATAGTTAGTTTTACATTATGATGCCCCTTATCTTAAAAAATATCTCAAGAATGTACAAAAGTGGCTATAGCTGTATTGTTTATGATGTGCCCAAAAGAATTTCGAACATGAATGAATTAATTGTCTTCTTATCTTGACACAACATCCTTCATGATTATGTCAAATTAAAACTAATTAAAGTGACCACATTGTAATTACTTCAAACATGTTTAGAGAAATGCACTTATGCAAATGCAGATTAATGTTTGTTGAAAGTCCAAATACCTTTCCTAACAGTCCATGCAAATTTCACTTGAGCATATTGGTGGGGGTATGAATCGCATTCAGCGATAGCTCTAGTTTACTTTGTTTATGGAAGGTTGTAAAAAGTCTTTAATCACATAGCCTCTCTAGCATCAATTTGAGCAGTATTCAGTTCTCAAGGGTTAAGGGCATTAATAGACCAGAAAACATTAATAATGAGATGAGACACAAGTCAACTTTAAAAGATTATAAAGATTCTGTAAATGGACAACGTCTTGAGAGCAATCACAACAGTTTGATTGAACAAATAGAAAATCTCGTATTGATCTTATAACTTTAAGCTTATGCTATAGTAACTTCAGATATGCTTCTGTTTAGTAAATGCACAGTTGCAGGGGTAATTGTCATCTTCAATGACTGTTCTTGTAAATGCTTTTACAAGTATTGAAGGGATTTAGTTGATATACGTGTTTATAGAGGTCAAGTAGAGAAATGTAGTGTCAGAAAACTGTAAGTCTTTGAAACGTGCTTATTATCTCCTTTAATTAATTTTTTGGCTCCAACTTAAAAAATGTCAAAGGTCATTGTGACATTGTTAATTTCTAAGCTGATACTGAATTGAGAAGGAATTAGTTAAAATTTGTTAAACTTATGTAAAGGCATGGTCCATGGCCAGTAGTTGGCCCCTATTGTTAATGAAGTCATTAGATCAAAGGTCAGGTTTACAGTGGCAAATATGCCAATGTGACTGGCAGTTGTAAGTGGTAGGATAAGTGTCATATGCGCCATTGCTATTTTAGGTTCTTTCGAGAATATTTTTTTAAAACGTTCAATTCAAAACAATCACTGAAAGTTCAGTATTTAAGAATCAACTTTGTCATGTTTACATCTGAACTCTATTATCAATATTTCAAAGTACTTGAAAAGAGCAGCATATCTAAAACGCATTCAAACTATTATATTGACAGATGATTTCAATCATATAGATGATTTAAATCATATAATTAACTCCTTGCTCATGTTTATAGAATGGAAACTACAGGCTTCAGTATTGTTGTGTTGATATCAAATGTATTGTTATTATTCTTCTACATTGTACTACTGACATTGAGTATTGCGGGTCATAATATGTACATGCTTTTGTGACAAAAAAAACAACAACAACAGAGTTGTGCTGTTAGTTTTCACATGTTTATTTCAATTGTGTTTTGTTGCTTAATATTAAAATGAAATAAACTTATAAAAAACTATCTTTCGTTCTTGTACCAAAATTATATTTCCTTACACAGGTTTGGAGCAAGTATATCTGTTGGTTTGAAACTCAACAGAAATGAAGGGTCATTAGCAAAGTTCATAAATCATAACCCATGTATGATACAATTATTGACAAATGTGCCATTGAATATGATGTGATATTCACCGGCAAATGACTTATTGACCGAGGCGGTAACCGAGGTCAATATGACTGCCGGTGAATATCACATCATATTCAATGGCACATTAGTCAATTATTGTTTCTTTATGTGAAAAGGCTATAAGAATTTAAAAATCACGGAATGTACAGCCTTATACATGTTCAACTTTTGCAGCAAGGGGAAAAAATTAAGACGCGCACGTGTCAGGCGTGCAACACCCACGAGAACGCTACTCATACAAAATTAATCCAGTTTATACGCCTCATTGCAGTGTAACCTTTAACTATAATAGTAAAGTAATTATATTTTAGTCGACGATATATGATCATTGAACATGAGTCTCTATCTATTTTTATACCCATTGACTGCTGTTTGGAGCTAAATTTAGATCATATAATAATTTAGCACAATAATGCAAGGTCCTGCAACACAATTTTTCAGTGATATCTCCGAAATTTCATAATGTAGAGCCCATATTTCGTGTAACATTCTTGGACTTCTACCGTGTTGGTTCAAATTTTGACCGTTGATCCACCGTGAGTTCACTGATTTAAGAATGATACTGATGTAAAACAGTTGAGCGTTCAAATGTTGACCAAAGAGTGCTGAAATGCCCTATAATTTGAGAGGTTTTCCTTGACACGTACACATTTTACAGTGTAGCAAAATGGAGTTGAGCAAACACCTTAATCGACTTTCGTTTTCGTTTTCTTTAGATAAATAATATGTTTTTGAAGGATGATCGCATTATTTTTCTGGCATATTTAAAAGAAATAGGTTTTGATAACGCTGAAAATTTCATAATCATTGTGACCCATCCTTTGAAAACAATAACACTGAGTTTCATAAAGTGTGCTTTAAAATGAGGATTTTACTGGCCAAATTGTGTAGTACTCATCGATCAACATCCATCAACTCAGCGTCATGTATGTTATTTAATCAAAGCACTATTTGTAGTCGCATTATATACTCAATGAATATGTGACTACTTTATACAGGTCGCCAGAGTCTTAATATTGCAGATCTAATAAAAAAAGTTATGCTTTCAAAATAAATCATAAAGTAATAGCAAACTAATTATAAAGTAATAGAAAAAAATGTTATTGACCATTTCTTAGCTTGACCTTTTTTTTGAAAAGTGTTACGTGATGCAACTTAGTTGCACCTGAAGTCAGTAAAGTACGGGACCACCCAAGTTTTCTTTCATCCGTAAAATGCTTGCTGTAAACTCATTGACAAGGTGATGAGCATTTTGTTCTGAAGTTGCCATGGTATTATTTTAAATCATGTGGTTCCGGTTAACGAAGGCTTTTTGTAACACACAATCTGATCTCATAAAGAGAGGGTGTATTTTGCACTATGATAATGTGCAAGAACATAAGCACTTAACTTGTTAAAGACGTTCTACACAGTTGCAACATTAATGAAACTAACTACATTGCCAGACCCGCCTGACCTCGTTATAGATGCAAATAAATGCAATAAAATGCAAAATTATATCATTTATGAAACAAGTTATTTAAGTGTAAATTTTCACCCCTTAGAACAAGATGCAAAAGTCTATAGAATTGTATTCATTCATATACTTAATTTCGTCACAAATCTTTTAAAACAAACACAAATACCGATTTTCAATTAACAGGGAATATCAATATGCCTGGTTTATAGCATAATTAAAAACTTGGGTCCTTAGTTTCAGGTCTCATCTGAAGGACCGTTAGTAAAGTTTAGTTATTTTTCATGGATAGAACCAGTACAGTACTGTGAAACACTGAAAAATCTCTTTGTAACTACAATTGGTCCGGTCGGAAATCGAATCTGGACCGCCGCATTGGCAGTCAAGCGCTTCCCACTAGATCACCGCTCATTGAACAATTAAATGTAGTGACAAAGTGCTTACCAGTTGAAAAGAGTATGAAAAGAATTGAATTGAAGTCGCTGACCGATTCCCTTCTTATTTTATGTGGTCAGCTTATAGAGAAATAAAGACTGTGCACTTTCAACAGATGATCCATTTTTGAGAAAATACAAAAGTAACAATATTTTCTAAGGCTTTCAATCGCCAGTATATGCAGCTTCAACTTTGGAGTTATAATCTCTTATTAATACAACTTTTCACGATGTAGAGTTCGATATATCTTTATATTTTTACACTGAAAGACGAAAAAAAAAATTTTAAAGATCGGTCTGTTTTTTGAAAAATGTCACAAAAAGTAAAAATTTGGCAACAATTTTTGTATTTTCTGATCGAAGATCAGTAAAATACAAAGCGGACATTCAATCTCTGACACAGAATTTCACGACAGACCTAACAACAAGTAGTTCTCAAAACAGCTTACAACTAGCGATTTAAAGGAAAGAAATATTTTAATTTTGTTACAAGTATCCAAAAAATTACAACGCATTCAAAGTTTAAAAGTAGCGTTGGCTTATAGAATTGTCAATTAATACACAATACATCCTAAATAAATTTCTACACCCCTTATTTATCGGAAATAAAATCTAAGAACAATATGTTGCCATTAGATTTAAAATACGTACAAAAATGCATTATGCGCATTTCTTTTGGCTGGAGTTTCTGGTAAGGAAGCACCATACCCTTTGAAGTATTAACCTGTAGTTTACAATATTTGTTTAGGATGAAAATATCTTAGTTTGTTCACAAGTTCACGTTATAGTCCAAGTAATCAGTGACATAATTGTGCACCTTCTGTGAAAAGCATGAAACTTGGCATGGTAGCAGGAAATAGTATAGACCTTTTTACAATACGATTTTCCATAGCAACGAATGTTGCATTTCGCGCATGCGCATTCTGCGTAGGGCAGAAAGCAATAACGATGTCTACAGTTTATCATACTTTAAGGCTTTAATAGATGCTGTTTCATGTTATGTCACCCAAAAAATATTAATTTTGGGATGACTTAAGGCGGTAAGTACAGAAAACGTAAATTTATTTTTTAAGAAATCTAAGAAAATGTGCGGGAGTAATAATTCAATGATCAAAACGGGCACACACATATCTTTGTTCAAGGTATCATTAGACGACTTTTCCATCAGTAATTTAAATTGAAACAGCAGGGTGTTAAAGATAAAATTTTATTACCCCTGTATTACATAATATTACACAATTTGTATTGTACACTTCCTTTCAATAACTGGATTGGTCAGGCGGCAAGTGTCAAACAGATTGGCACCCGAACGTTTGTTCATTGAACCGGGACGTTTAAATATCATGATATAGTTAATCAGTTACGCTTATTAAAATGGTAATTTACGTAACTTTTAAATATACCGATCAATGTTTATGGATTTTGAGAAGAGAAAAATTGTGTCACGTACATAATTAAAAATAACATGTATTACGAAGAAGCGGATAAAATGTGTGTGATATCTTTTCCAAACAACCCATCTTAACATCTAAAGATTTTGAAAAAAAAATCATTTATTTAAAATCTATTTATGTGCCTTAAATTTTTCTGTTTGCTTCACAGGCAAATCGGGTAAAGGATAAAATCAGGTATATTGAACACTAAAAATGCATTATCACCTGTTCTGATATTTTTCTGAATGAAAATTTATCTCCATTTCATGTTATATAATTTCTTTTGTTTTTAAATGAACTATTTCAACAGCAAATAAGTTGACGTTTCATTTGCTAATAGATATATCTCCAAATCTTCTCTCAGTGTCAGTTCCGTGATCGTAATAATTTCTTATACAAGTATCTTTTTCATGCCTTTTTATGGCATTCTTCGCCACAAAGTCATCTTTTCTATATTTTTAAAAGCTATGTAATATAATTTTCTACCGTTTACCTTGAACTAACTCGGAATTGTTTATGAACTTTTACTAAATTTCTATGTAGGGCGAAGGATTTCTTGCCCTACGCAGATTGCGCATGCGCGAGAAAATTCTAATTCCGGTCGATTTTTCATAGCAACGGACCGCGTCGTAAAAAGGTCTGTTTCAAATTATTTCAGCCTGGGATCCACTTTTTAAAAATCCAAGATGGCCGCCAAAATCAAAGATGGCCACCAAAATGTACAACGTACATGAAACATGACAAAATTGGGTTATTTATGGCATGAAAATTGTAGGTCAAAAATAGAAATTTATTGGAAAAATGCTTTAGTTACATCGAAAGAAAATACAATATGGCTTCAAAATTCAAGATGGCCGCCATTAAATGATGATTTTTTTTACAAATTTCTATGATAAAGATAATCCATATGATCAATACTCTTCATATACATGTATATATATAACACACTAATAAACTGGCATTCCTGCATAAAAACTGCGCACACAGGTGCACATTCACAGAAAAAAATGCATATATGGATAGAACCATGGGGGCATATTATTTAGCTCGATATTTTGAAGAATAGGGAGCGATATTTTACACAAAAGACGTCAGTTTGACAGTTTGGCTAAGGTTTTGCATACAAGTTGTTTCTGTTAAAAATTACATAATGGAATATTAAAACCTAATATTTGTGAGCATAATAGAAGGTCACTGTTAAAGGCCTATAACTCTATCATGGATATTGACAGTATTATGGCTCTTTTAAATATACAGAATTCTTCATTATCTAGGTTCTTGTTTAGCTATCAAGCACTGAGAACAGTCGAGCACTCAATGATGTCCCACCAATAGGTCTTTGTTAATTTGCATGATTCTGACGCCATGCAAAACCGCTGATTGCCCCTAGTTACCTTAATACACAAGAGAGTCAATATCAAACATAACACACAAGAGAGTCAAAATCAATACGAAACCGGTTTCTTTATGTGGAAACAACACATCATATAATCACCAAATCAGTCATATA